ATATATATATATTAGTGAAACCATCCTTTTTTTTTTTTTTGGTAAAATGGGGGGCGTTAAAGCCCAGATATATTATTTAAAACCACGAAAAAAAGGTACAGCTTAGCAAACCTATCTGCTACTTGGTTTGCCTCTCGAAGAACATGGTTACACTCTAGCTTATGAAAGTCAGCTGCTGTCCTTACTATTAGGTTCACTAGGGAGTAACATGGATGATTACGAGAGCATCCTTCATTCAAGAATTTCATTGCTTCTGCAGAATCTGATTCAATAAAAATATAGACCTATAGAAAACGTTCTTTAATAATGCGAAGGCCAAGATATATTGCCCATAATTTAACTTGCACTACCGAGCAAGATCCAACCATTCCAACAAACCCCATAATAAAGGATTCATTACTATCACGTAGGACACCTCCGGAAGAGGCCAAATTAATGTTAGAAACAACCCCATCACAGTTTAACTTAAAGGCCCCCGTAGTAGGAGGCACCCAACCTAATTGAGGAATTTGGTAGGCCTGGTGGGGTGATGATAAACTTTTAACGTAAGAGGTGTTGGCTAAAAGTTGTACTCGGCCAAATATCTCTCCAACCACTTGATTGGTATGGATTGGAGCAAGCCTAAACACATGTGCATTCTGAGCCTTCCATAGCGAATCAAGAGTGATGGCAAAGAGTTGAGTCCACCACGAATCCGTTCTAATCATATTTTTACTCAACCAATCTACCAGACAGTCTGAGAAGAAACCATTATCAAGTCCACCCCTTGCCACGTGCTGCTAAACGCATTTAGCATGCATGCAATCCCGTAAGCAATGTAGTACATTTTCAGGTGCCTCAAGACAGATTGGACAACTATTATTAATACCAAATTAATTGGTTTTTTCTGTTAGCTTTTTCTGTTTTAGTTTTCTGTTTAGTTTTATTTTCTGTTTTGTATAAATAGGGATTATTTTCTCTTTTATAGCTGACCTATCATAATACAATAATTCTCTTCCTTTTGGTTCTCCCTCTCTTTCTTTTCTTTTCTTTAAAACCTGTTATGGTATCAGAGCCATTTAGATCCACTTTAAAAATGGGCCACCCACCATTGATGCATGCCTCACAGGCATGAGGGGGTGTATTGGGAAAAATCCAAGTCCCGCCAATCCTAGATCATTAAAAAGGGCCATCCACCATTTATTCATGTACCAAGCTCAATAGTGCTGGACGTGAGGGGGTGTATTGGGAAAAACCCAAGTCCCACATCGACTAGAGATTAGGCAATTGAATAGTATATAAGGCCCGACTTGTAGCAAAAGGGTACACTCAAGTTGAAGGTTTAGATTTTCTAGACACTTTTTCTCCTGTAGCAAGAATCACTACCTTGAGACTTCTCCTTTCTATAGCAGCTGCTAAACAATGGCACCTTCAACAACTAGACGTGGATAATGTTTTCCTTCATGGGCATCTTGACAAAGAATAAAGAAGGTTTCATAGATGGAAGCATTCAAGAACCAAGTGCCGATAGTTCTATTCGTCCATTCTGGCAGCGCTGCAATACTATGGTTCTTGGATGGTTAGTTCGTTCGATGAGTGCAGAAATTGCCCAATCAATTATATGGAGAAGCAGAGCATCAGAGGTTTGGGCAGAATTAAAGGAAAGATTATCACATGCAGACCTTTTCAGAATTTCAGAAATTCAAGAAGAAATCTATAGCCTTAAGCAAGGTGATCTATCAATTACGAAGTATTATACGAGTATGAAAACCTTATGGGATGAGCTTGAAATCTTGGATCCTATACCCACCTGCGTTTGCAACGCAAAGTGCACCTGTAATGCTCTCATGAATCTGAACAGGCATAGAAACACTGAAACTACGGTGAGATTTTTGAGAGGTTTGAATGAGCAATATTCCACCGTACGGTCCCAAATCATGCTCATGGACCCTCTTCCTCCCATCAACAAGGTATATTCTCTTGTTGCACAACAAGAAAGACAGTTTCTTGCTGAAAATTCTGGAAATTCGAAGGTGTTAATCAATGTGGCTGGGAACTCTGTTCAAGATACAAAAAGGTTCAATAATTTTAAAGCTTCTACTAACCAGAAATTTCAGCAACAAGGTGGGAAAATATGTTCTCATTGTGGAAAGTCAGGTCACACAATTGATGTTTGTTATAAGAAGCATGGATTTCCACCAGGCTTCAAGTTCAAAAATCCAAAATATGCCAACAGATCTGCCAATCTGAGCATTATTGAGAATATTGAGGATGCTGATATCATCAATACATCTAGGCAAGAGCAAAAATTTGGATTCACAGCTGAACAATATCAGAACCTGCTAGCTCTCCTTCCACAAAATTCTAATGACAATGGCACTAATCATATGGATACTGCTCAAGTTAATCTTTCTTCTGTACAACAACGTAGCACTATTCCCACTCACAATGGTAAGATTTTAAATACTAAATGGATTCTTGATACGGGAGCTACTGACCACATATGTTTTTCTCTAACATGCTTCACTTCTTATAAATTCATAAAACCTATTCATGTCAACTTGCCTAATGGTAATTCTGTTTTGGCATCTATATCAGGAACCATCCATTTTTCTCCTTTCCTTTACTTAACTGATGTCTTGTATCTGCCTAACTTTCAATATAATCTAATTTCTGTATCTAAACTTACCTCTGTCTTGAACTGCACCTTGACTTTTTCTGATAATTCTTGCTGGATACAGAATTTGAATACCTCCAAGATGATTGGTACAGCTGAGGCTAAAGATGGTTTATATTTGTTAAAGGGACCGGATAAAATACAGTCTTCCATTTCTATGTACAAAAGTGTTAATAGTCAT